CGTCGATCATAAAATTAAAACAATCATAACTCGATCATTGTGTTTAAATATTGAACTAAAATTTGGTGTAGAGGTGTATTATCTGGTCATATTAACAACATATCTTCTGATGTCGCTTACTTTATTTAGTATTTTTAAAGATTTTTTTTCTGATGATGCTTGTTGTCACTTGAAGACGCTTTTAAGATGGACCCAATGTCACACTCAGTTTTGATGATCACACAAGGAGAAACTTGTAACGAACGTCGGTTGGCGTCATAACATAGAAGTAGCCAGAGACAGTGCCAAAAGTTTTATATCATTCAATATTCATACAGTGCCAGGTTAGACAAAATAAAATACTTTAATTAAAATCTGAAACGATCTACTGAAATAGAAAAACAAAACAACCACAAACATCCGAAATGCGTCCTCGAAACATTTACAAATGTTAAGGTCGAAATGTTCAAGAGGAAGGATCTCAATGGAAAGGAATTTCACTTTTTTTTTATGACAATTTTACTGTTAATTCAACTGGAAATTCGCTCAATTGTGACTTGAAACCTTAAATTAATCCAATCGTTTTGAAAATGAAATATAATTAATCCATTCAAATTAAATGAATAAAAATAATTCAAATTGCATTAATTCAAAAAGTATTTTTTAATTTTTAAATTGAATTTCTAAATGCAAAAATGTTAAGTTGTTGGAATGTTATTCAATACATATGTAATTCTTAACATTTAGGACATTTGATTAATTATTATAAAACGTGAATAATTACTAATCGCAACAGAAGTGCATATTTGTAATGAAAAACTGGTGTTTTTTAAATAGGTGAAAACAATATTCCTTTTCTGGGGAGGGGGCTCTTGTAAGTCCTGTCCATGCATGAACACTGGTATTTTTGACATCTTTCAAGTTTAAATGATTACTGGTAAACAGTTTTTAGCTCACCTGCCCGAAGGGCAAGTGAGCTTATGCCATACCGCAGCGTCCGTCGTCCGTCCCTTGTCCGTCGTCCGTCCGTCCGTCAACTTTTCATTTAAAACGCTACTAGTCCTGAACGGCTTAACAGATTTTGACCAAATTTGGCCTGAGGCATCCTTGGGGGAAGGGGAACAAATTTTGTATAAACCATGGGTGTGGCTCCCATAGGGGCCGAGGGGCGGGGCTCAATAAGGTAAATAAAGCCAATTCTTTAAAATCCTTCTCCTTCTGAAGGAATGAATGGATCTGTTCCATATTTGACCTGAAGCATCCTTGGGGGAAGGGTAACCAATTTTGTATAAACCAGGGGTCTGGCCCCCATAGGGACTGAGGGGCGGGGCCCAATAGGGAAAATCCTTCTCCTTCTGAAGGAATGAATGGATCTGTCCCATATTTGACCTGAAGCATCCTTGGGGGAAGGGGAACCAATTGTGTATAAACCAGGGGTCTGGCCCCCATAGGGACTGAGGGGCGGGGCCCAATAGGTAAAATCCTTCTCCTTCTGAAGGAATGAATGGATCTGTCCCATATTTGACCTGAAGCATCCTTGGGGGAAGGGGAACCAATTTTGTATAAACCAAGGGTCTGGCCTCCATAGGGGCTGAGGGGCGGGGCCCAATAGGGGAACATAGAAAATTCTCAAAAATCCTTCTTTTTATGAAGGAATGAATGGATATGTTCCATATTTGGCCTGAAGCATCCTTGGGGGAAGGGGAACCAATTTTGTATAAACCAAGGATCTGGTCCCCATAGGGACTGAGGGGTGGGGCCCAATAGGGGAAATATAGCAAATTCTTAAAAATCCTTCTTCTTCTGAAGGAATGAATGAATCTATTCCATATTTGGCCTGAAGCATCCTTGGGGAAAGGGGAACCAATTTTGTATAAACCAAGGGTCTGGCTCTCAAAGGGGCTGAGGGGTGGGGCCAAATAGGGGAAATATAGCAAATTCTTAAAAATCCTTCTTCTTCTGAAGGAATGAATGAATCTATTCCATATTTGGCCTGAAGCATCCTTGGGGGAAGGGGAACCAATTTTCTATAAACCAAGGGTCTGGCCCCCATAGGGGCTGAGGGACGGGGCCCAATAGGGGAACATAGAAAATTGAATGGATCTGTTCCATATTTGGCCTGAAGCATCCTTGGGGAAAGGGGGACCAATTTTGTATAAACCAAGGGTCTGGCTCTCAAAGGGGCTGAGGGGTGGGGCCAAATAGGGGAAATATAGCAAATTCTTAAAAATCCTTCTTCTTCTGCAGGAATGAATGAATCTATTCCATATTTGGACTGAAGCATCCTTGGGGAAAGGGGAACCAATTTTGTATAAACCAAGGATCTGGCCCCCATAGGGACTGAGGGGCGGGGCCCAATAGGGGAACATAGAATATTCTTAAAAATCCTTCTTCTTCTGAAGGAAAGAATGGATCTGTTCCATATTTGACCTGAAGCCTCCTTGGGGGAAGGGGAACCAATTTTGTATTAACCAAGGGTCTGGCCCCCATAGGGACTGAGGGGCAGGGCCCAATAGGGGAACATAGAAAATTCTGAAAAATCCTTCTTCTTCTGAAGGAATGAATGTATCTGTCCCATATTTGGCCTGAAGCATCCTTGGGGGAAGGGGAACTAATTTTGTATAAACCAAGGATCTGGTCCCCATAGGGACTGAGGGGTGGGGCCCAATAGGGGAAATATAGCAAATTCTTAAAAATCCTTCTTCTCCTGAAGGAATGAATGGATCTGTCCCATATTTGACCTGAAGCATCCTTGGGGGAAGGGGAACCAATTTTGTATTAACCAAGGGTCTGGCCCCCATAGGGACTGAGGGGTGGGGCCCAATAGGGGTAATATAGCAAATTCTTAAAAATCCTTCTTCTCCTGAAGGAATGAATGGATCTGTCCCATATTTGACCTGAAGCATCCTTGGGGGAAGGGGAACCAATTTTGTATAACCCAAGGGTCTGGCCCCCATAGGGACTGAGGGGCAGGGCCCAATAGGGGAACATAGAAAATTCTTAAAAATCCCTCTTCTTCTGAAGGAATGAATGGATATGTTCCATATTTGGCCTGAAGCCTCCTTGGGGGAAGGGGAACCAATTTTGTATAAACCACGGGCTTGGCACCCATAGGGACTGAGGGGCGGGGCCCAATAGGGATTCTCAAAAATCCTTCTTTTTATGAAGGAATGAATGGATATGTTCCATATTTGGCCTGAAGCATCCTGGGGGGAAGGGGAACCAATTTTGTATAAACCACGGGCTTGGCACCCATAGGGACTGAGGGGCGGGGCCCAATAGGGATTCTCAAAAATCCTTCTTTTTATGAAGGAATGAATGGATATGTTCCATATTTGGCCTGAAGCCTCCTTGGGGGAAGGGGAACCAATTTTGTATAACCCAAGGGTCTGGCCCCCATAGGGACTGAGGGGCAGGGCCCAATAGGGGAACATAGAAAATTCTTAAAAATCCCTCTTCTTCTGAAGGAATGAATGGATATGTTCCATATTTGGCCTGAAGCATCCTGGGGGGAAGGGGAACCAATTTTGTATAACCCAAGGGTCTGGCCCCCATAGGGACTGAGGGGCGGGGCCCAATAGGGGAACATAGAAATTTTTTAAAAATCCTTCTTCTTCTGAAGGAATGAATGGATCTGTTCCATATTTGGCGTGAAGCATCCTTGGGGGAAGGGGAACCAATTTTGTATAACCCAAGGGTCTGGCCCCCATAGGGACTGAGGGGCGGGGCCCAATAGGGGAACATAGAAATTTTTTAAAAATCCTTCTTCTTCTGAAGGAATGAATGGATATGTTCCATATTTGGTCTGAAGCATCCTTCGGGGAAGGGGAACCAATTTTGTATAAACCGTGGGTCTGGCCCCACATTGGGACTGAGGGGCGGGGCCCAATAGGGGAAATATAGCAAATTCTTAAAAAATACTTCTTTTTCTGAAGGAATTAATGGATCTGTTTCATATTTGGCCTGAAGCATCCTTGGGAAAAAGGGGAACAAATTTTATATAAACCGTGGGTCTGCTGGCCCTTATGGGGACTGAGGGGGTGGGAAATAGGGGAAATTTAGCTTCTTTTTTTTAAAGTCACAGCTTAGAAATATTTGAGATCTCCACAAAATAACAATATCTTAATTGCTAGGCATTGCAAATTAAATACAAAATGTTAGAAATAGTTGAGATCTCCACAAAATAACCATATCTAAATTGCTAGGCATGAAAAATTCAATACCAAATGTTACAAGGATTGGCATTGGGGTCTCAAGCCTATTATGTTGAATCTTATTTGGAGAATATTTTGCCATAATTGCTTGATACACAGGTGAGCGATACAGGCCCTCTGGGCCTCTTGTTTTCTGTATATTGTAGACCAATTTTTAATTATTGTCATATATCTGTCAGATCATGTTAAAATCAAATTATAGATCTCTTTAAAACCCTGACGTTTTTCAGGGCTTTTGGCCCTTTGATTCTAGTTTATGAATGCATCACATTCTCAATTTGTGCAAAAACTATTTTTTTATGTTTTACAGCAATAATTTCAACCAATGGCAAAAGATCTGGAATTACCATCCAAACAGTCGCCAAAAGAAAAGACAAAAGGGATTATGGCAAGCGACATTATTGTTATTTTTGTGGTAAGAGCCAGTTGAAAATTGCAAGACATATTCTTCAGCAGCATGGTGATGTAAAGGACATTGCCATATTACCAAGTGTTTCTTCAGGAAAAGCGGACAGAAAGAAAAGAAAAATGATACTTGACAGATACAGAAACATGGGTAACTTTAATCACAACATAGAAGTTCTGTCAGAGAAAAGAGGAAATCTAATTGTCGGGAGAAGACCGAATGAAGAAGAATCTATGCATAACTCAGAACAGTATCTTCCATGCCAGTACTGTTTAGTATTTTACATTGCAAAGGAACTTTGGAGACACACAAAGAAATGTCAATTTCATTCAAAACCTTTGGTGTATGAAAATATTTTGCAAGAACAAAAGGCAGCAAGAGATATCACTTCTACCTCTAAAATGCTTATTCAGGGTGCTACAGGAGTTGGCGCAGTTGGGTTTGAGATTGATGATGAACAGTTTGATTCAAATGTCCTAAAAGCAATGCATGTGGATGAAATCAGTTTGGCCATAAAATCTGATCCGCTACTCGTTTTACTAGGCCAGACCCAATACAACAAGCTAGGAGCAAGAAAGGCCTGCCATGTAAGGGAGAAACTGCGAATAATGGGAAGACTCAAACTTGTCCTCAGAAGGAACACTGGAAAAGTTTCTGCCTCAATTGAAGAATTTATCAATCCAATGCATTTTGATACTTGTGTTCAGGGAGTGAAATCATTAGCAGAGGAAACTGATCAATTGTCTCTCAGTGGGACAAAAACATTCAAGAAACCTTCCCTTGCACTTAAAGCTGGACACTTGCTTAGAAAAATAGCAGAGCTGAAGAAAGGACAGGGAATCAGAAACAAAGATGACACATTAAAGGTGGCAGCTGCTGACTTTATTGAATTGTATAATACAGAATGGAGTGACAAAATATCTGGGATTGCTCATCAAAATATCAAAGAGCTGCATTTCAACAAAGAAACAATTCTTCCACTAACTGCAGATCTGCAGAAACTCACAGTAAGTATATTACATACATAAATGGCCATTGACATCTTTATTAGAACAGAATACAGCAAAAGATATTTATAACAGATCTCTGGGGACGAAGATATGGTTTGTTTTATATGTATAAAAAACTTTATAAAAGAATCATGCATAATTTTTTTTATTGAAAATAACAAATTTGTATATGACTAAACACAAACTTATTTCTGGGCAATATTTAAATAGACCTATCAGTATAAACATCTACCGTATTTTTCGGATTATAGGTCGATGCAGTATATAGGTCGAAGCACAGGTTTTTGACAAAAAAGTGAAGTTGAGTTTTATACAGGTCGAGGGAGATTGCCAAGATCATTCGGTGACCTCAACACACAAAATAAGTGTTATTCATCCAGAAACAAAGAATATCCTCTATGTATTGTATCATATTAAGCATTAAAACAGAGAAAATAAATAGTATAATTATTAATGCTTAGGGAAAATAGTTATAATGAATGGAAGGTTTATTATCCTACCTCAACATGTTGTGTATTACTTATTTCAACTTAATTAAAAGACCAAGTACACAAACCATATGATAAGGGCCCCATATCGGAGATAAATGTGCCCTAAATTAATCACTCTGTGTCTGTCCGTCCGTTTAATAATATCGGTATTCATTAACCGATTTGAATGAAACTTGGTCAACATTTTCAATAAACAAAAAGAAAACACAGGGTTGAATGCTAAAGTCACTGGGTCAAAGGTCAAGGTCAAAGGTGGGGCGGATTTCTACAGCCACAATACGGGGCCCTTACTATTCTGTCAAGATTCTAGTTGATAGTTAGTCACATTCAGGTAAGGCAAGTTAAGGTTACTGAGTCAAAGGTCATGGTAAAAATTTCTTTGTAAGAAAATAACAACAAAAGTAATGAAAACTGAGGTGACTGAATGCCCTAAGAGTCTCTTGCTGTTTTTACAGAAGTACTTGGAGGAAGAAACAACTGCAATGACTACGAAGATTTTGAATCATAAGTCAGCTGAACTGTGGAGAAAGCTTGCAGAGCTAACATTAACACGACTCATTCTGTTCAACAAGAGGAGAGCAGAAGAGCCTGCACAAATGCTTGTAGAACGATTTAAGCAACGCCCAATAAACAGGAATACCAATGAAGAGCTACTGCAGTCACTACAACCAATTGAGAAGCATCTAATGAAATGGTGAGTTTTGTTCAGAACTGTTAAGAAACTGTTTCCTTAACAACAATTATAAAACAAAAATAATCCATATGATTTGATCAGCCATGTTTCTAACATATTTTATATAAAGTCAGATCAGAAAAAATAATCCAGTGTTTAAACACTGGTATTGGTAAATTGAAAAATCTTATTACCCCTAAAAAGAAATTAAGAGTTTCACTGTCTTTGCTCTGTTTCTTCTGCTTCCTTCTGGTTTTTCCACCAGCAAGGTTTCCAACACTTTTTCAAAAGTTATTGGAAGAAATTTAACTAAACTCACCAAAATTTTCTCTGTATGTTTGGGGGTGTGCTAGAGCATGTCCATTTCGGGGAATTTGGAACGGGTCCCTGTTGCAGTTAGTTTACATCATAATTATGGCATTATTACCTATCAAACAAAACATTTGGAACTAAAATGTAGCTTTCAGAATAGTTTTAATTTTTTTACATCAGTATTGTGCCTTGGTCTTTTAATACAGCATGGACATGGTGGAAGTCTTAGGAAAGAAAAACAGAAAGGTTCCAATTCTTATGACACAGACCATGCTTGCAGCAGTCAGTGCTCTTGTATCCACTAGAGATGCAGTAGGAATCCCTAAAGAGAATCCATTTGTTTTTGCAGTGGTATGTAAAGTGTGCTTCAAAAAAATATATATAAAGTTAAATTTTATGGTTATTTTATTCCAATTTTTATGCATTTAAATATTTATTTTTCTTTTGTAATTCCATCTACAGTTATTCAAGTTGGCTGAGTGGCCGATCGGGCGAATTGTTTATTGTACATCTTGAGCTTCAAAGAGTCCATCATATGTTGGCATGTGGGATAAATAAATAAAAGTGTAGAATATTGGGCAAGAAACCAAGTCTTTGCTGAGGTTCTGTATCAATATTCTAAACTCAAAAAAAAAATCCATATCCCACATAACTAGAGTATGATTGACTTTTTCTCCTACCTTTTTCATTAAAACTTACCAAATACAATCGTACTGCTGAATTTAACAAAATTTCTAGACAGAGTATGTTTTATAGGAAGCCACAGTACAATTCAAATTTTGGATTTGCAATGGTTGTCAAAAGCAGATTGAATACTGTTTCTGTTTATTCCTTGAACAAATTTACATCTAAAGGTGAAGCATAACAGCTTTATTTTTATACTTTATGGGATAACTGTGCTTTATTGGTAGCCTTTGTGTGATAATGATTAAATTTAGACAGTTTTCACATTTCTCTTTCCAGGGGGAAAATGGGCACCTTCGGGGATGTGCAACAATCAAGCGAACTGTCGAAAGTTGCAAAGATGACATCAAATATCCAGAATTGATTACTAGTACCAAACTACGAAAGTACATGGCTACAGTTTCTCAGGTAGAAAATTAAATTACCAATTAACCCTGTGTAGAAGCTAGACCATAAAAATATGTGAAAGCTGTGTAAGACAGTAGACAGTATGAAGCCATTTGTTACCATATTACACTAATGTGTTCAGTTACTGAATGATTTGCATACATAAATTTAATCTTTTATTATTATATCACCCTTTGTTAGGTCTCAAAATGCCGTCAAATTTCATTTGCTTTCACTGATCATATTTTTTCAAGTCAAGAGATCAATTACTAGAAATAAAAATAAATGCCTAGTTAATAAGAAATATTGTTGGAAAGTCTGAAGTAAAAATTATTTTAAGTACTCTGCCATTAAATGTATTCATTTGGAATTTTAACTCTTTCGCTACTCATGACGCCTATAGGCGTCATGAAAAAGGTGCCCCGTGTCCCGCATGACGCCTTTAGTCATAAATAAGTGCTCCCGTGTCCCGCATGACGCCTATAGGCGTCATAGAAAAGAGCTCCCGTATCATAAGTCATGTTTCACTTCCTCGTTTGGAGTGTTCTAAGAAGGAATTTATGTATGAAATATTAATTAAACGAATGATAACAAGCAGAAATAGGATAACGATAATTTATTTTATGTGTTTTCAGTTTAATTTTGTGTTATATTGGTCGTATATAATCGGAAATCGGCTGGTTTACAACACGTTGTTTACACAGACACTTGTTCGTTTTGCATGTTGCTAGAAGAAATTTATGTATGAAATAGGTAGTTAACTGATAATACCAAGCAGAAATGGGATAAGGATGATCTGTTTTATGTATTATAAGCTTAATCATATGTTGTTATGGTCGTATAATGGGAAATCTGCTGGTTTGAATCCAGTCGTTTACACCGGTAACAAAATAAACAAAATAGCGGACTCAAAAGTTTACTTTTGATTTCAAGGCTTGAATGACGGAAAACACTGACCAAATGTGATAAAAATGATAACAAATGAACAACTGGGTACAAATGATGGTCAAAATAAAACAAGAACCTATTAAACGTCTTTTAGTAACATAAAAACAGGGTTATGATTATAAGTGAAATCTCGAACGTAAGTGAAACAGTGATTAGATAAACACTGTCACTTCCTGTCATTCTACCGGACGATTTCGGCACTTTTTCTCGTAAATAAATTATAAATGTGTGTCTACCTATTTCATACAATACATAACAACAAATAAATGCCAACGTACCGAAAATATAAGCACCACACAGTCGTAAATCATCCTTTAATCGTAGCGGTAGTTTGGAGCTATTATTATTATTATTATTATTATAATAGGGTTTTACGTCTGCTATTACGGCCTTTCGGCCTCTCAGTAGACGAGAACAGATACTTTTGGAGCAATGTGCTCTGTATTGCGTCATGCGCAAAGGACGAACCCCTGATCACTTCCGGGTAGCGAGCGGGAAATTTGAATTGAGTACGGAAAGAGTTAAGGACTCTTGTGCAAGTTGGTTGATCAGTTGATTTTATTGTCATCTTTGTCAGGCTTATGTACATTAGCAAGTTGTTTCATCAAAATCATATTTTAGGGAATAAATTATATTTCAGGGAATCGACCATGTTTCAAGTTATTTGTAAATTATAGTTATAACAAAATTGAACAAATTTTTAGGTGTTCAATCTGTCCACTGGGCAACTGGAGGAGTTGGCAGGACACATGGGGCATGAACTGAGTGTGCATAGACAATACTACAGGCTGCAGGAAGATGTGGTAGAAATTGCAAAAGTGAGCAAACTACTGCTCACTGTAGAGAAAGGAAATGCCCACCAGTTTGCTGGAATGTCTCTTGACGATATTCAGTTAGATGGCAAGTACAAGAATTTTCTGAGAAGCAAGACCACCTGTGGCAGGGTTTTACTTTTAATTCAATACACCTGGTCCTCCTACTTGTACAAAAGCATGTGCACAAGATACCTATATAAATGTATGGTACATTTAATACATATTCCACCATGTAGTATGTGTGTAGTTATGCGAAAATATATACGATTATCATATCCTCTGTCACCACTTTGAATTTCTTTTTACATGTATTGTGTTACATTTCACTTTTGTATGTCACTTAAAAGACTTGTTCCATCGAAGATGGGAATAGTTACAGTGTTAGTCATTAGTTTTTTCAATTAATTCTAAATGATTCTACATTGATATTGTTGATACTCAAGACATATACATATATGCAATTTTCAGGTGTAGATGATGTCTATTAACCACTGAAATCACTATATGTAAACAAAATAATATAAACCCACATGTGTATGCATCTTTAATGTAACACATAACCTGAGTTAAATACAAATACATTGCTTTATTAGGGCCCCTCTTTGGCGATATGGGTGCCCTATAGTAATCACTTTGTTGTTCTGTCCACAAATTTTGTTTCTACTTAATTAACATCGGTATTCATTGACTGATTTGAATGAAACTTTGTCAATAAACAAAAAGAAAACACAGGGTCGAATGCTAAGGTCACTGGGTCAAAGGTCAAGGTCAAAAGTGGGGGGATTTCTACAGCCACAATACAGGGCCCTTACTGACCTGTCAGTGTTCTAGTTTGTTGAGATTCTGAATCAATCTAGCTAGACCAAAATTCAAATGCCTTGTAACGTGTTTACCTTTTGGCACTGTTAGTGATAAATTTGTTGTGTATGCCAAACTAGATCAGGTCCGATAGCCTTGTCAATAATCTGAAGATAAAGTATGCATTCAGTTGAAGTCTCTTATTATGTATTAATAAATGGGACATAGGGTGAAAGTTTAAGATTAATCTAGTTCTATTATGACAAAAATAATTCCAGGTAATCATGTCAGGGAATGATTCTCTGGTTGGTAGATTTGGGTAATTTTTTTTTGCTGTTGTCCTGCTATGTACTTAGTTGGGAGTATTCAGTCCTTAAAATGCAGCTCAATATCACCTTTTTTGCTTCCAAAAGCTACATGTCAAGGAATATGTGGACATACATTACTAATTAGTTATAAGTTTTTCCCTTTGCCACTTGAATTGTTAGGACACAGATTTGCTTTCAGATTCCATATAAGATAATATTTCCACTATGGCAAAACGTACATTGAAAAAAACATTTGACAGGGATCTGAATATTTATTGAACATTTATAAATCTGTCATTAAGACAGAATATTCATTCAAGGGTAAAAAACAAATATCACCATTTGACAGCAAAACAAAATCATAATCCAGAATCAATCAAACAAGGGCAATGTGTGTACTTGCATAGAGATTCCTGAAAATGTACGAGATGAGGCTGACACTGAAAGGTTCTTGGGCTATTGTGAACATAGAAATAGCAAAAATTATCTTTGTTTTTATCACCTTATTTTCAAACTCTTTCCAAATTATCTCAATATTCAATTACAATTTATTCAATTACATCCAGATTTAGACACCAGTTCTCAAGAAGGAGGAAGTGAGGGACCTTCTCAAGGTAAATAAGGATATACATTTTTTATTGAAAAAGCAGACTGTCATGTTTGCAATTCTGTAAACATACCGGTACTTATTTTAGCACAATCAAATTTAAGGTCATGGTCAAATTTTGAATGATTAGCACATTAAATTAATATTGATGTAATATGTAGAAAAAGTAATATTATTATTTCACAATCATGTTTTAGCGCAAAACGCTAAAATATGGCTGCCACTAAAAGAATATACCTTTACAGTATTTTGGGTGACAAAAATTATTAGGTCTCTAAAAAATGTTAACCATCCCCCGCGAAACACGTTTGCAGGGGATATTAAATTGGCCTCTGTCCGTCCCAGTCATTTATATCTTCCAAACTGTTTAACTGAACTTCACAAAACTTTCTGTATATATTAAGTTGGTGCCTTAGTTGTGCCTTTTGCTATTGGCGACATTTCACTTTTCATATTTTTAGCTATTCAAATCGTCGTCCGTCCGTCCGTCCGTAAACAATTCTTGTTACTGCTATTTCTGGGAAAGTACAGGATGGATCTTTCTCAAATTTCACATGCAGGTTCCCCTTGGTCCCTAGTTGTGCATTGTACCTTATTTTGGCCGATCCCAATTCAAGATGGCCGACAGGTGGCCATCTTGGATTTTGAAAGTGAAAGTTTGTTACCGCTTTTTCAGGAAAAGTACTGGATGGGTCTTTCTCAAATCTTATATGCAGGTTCCCCTTGGGCCCTAGTTGTGCATTGTACCTTTTTCGGAGTGATCTGAATTCAAGATGGCCGACAGGCGGCCATATTGGACTTTGAAAGTGAAAGTTTGTTACCACTATTTCTGGAAAAGTATGGAATGGATCTTTCTCTAAATTTCGTATGCAGGTTCCCCTTGGTCCCTAGTTGTGCATTGTAACTTTTTTGGACTGATCCTAATTCAAGATGGCAGACAGGCGGCCATCTTGGATTTTGAATGTGAAAGTTTGTTACCGCTGTTTCTGAGAAAGTATGGAATGGATCTTTCTCAAATTTCGTATGCAAGTTCCTCTTGGTCCCTAGTTGTGCATGGTACCTTTCTTGGACTGATCCTAATTCAAGATGGCCGACAGGTGGCCATCTTGGATTTTGTAAGGGAAAGTTTGTTACCGCTATTTCTGGGAAAGTACTGGATGGATCTTTCTCAAATTTCATATGCAGGTTCCCCTTGATCCCTAGTTGTGCATTGTACCTTTTTTGGACTGATCTAAATTCAAGATGGCCGACAGTACTGAATGGATCTTTCTCAAATTTCATAACTATTATGCAAGTTCCCCTTGGTGCATAGTTGTGTATTTGTACTGTTTTTCTTAAATTTCATTGTTAGGTCCCATTGTCACGTAAAAAACAGTCAGAGATCTGAGTGGAGAATACTAAGGAATTTAGCTGGAGATCTTATATGACAGATAACACTGTTTCCCTAAATGTTTTTCAAGTTGAATTATAGCAGGATAAAATAATGTTTTGCATAGCTTGTGATAAGTCTCTTGAGGGATTTTAATTCAAATTCCATGTCATTGAGATAAAAAAAGAAAAGTAGAGAAAAGAACAGTCTGTCGTAGATCCATTGCAGTACGTCCAATGGTGGGCGCCAAGATCCCTGTGATCTCTTGTTTCTGTTAGCATGGAAACATAGAAAACACAAAAAAGGGTTTTTCGGGCTATAACTTCCAAACCATTCAATTCAAATTCACAAAAACTTTTCTATATATTAAGTTGGTGCCCTTGTTGTGCCTTTGCTATTGGCAACATTTTCACTTTTTTTGTTACCTTAGAAACTTTGTCAGAAAACAAAAAAAAAAGGTCTTTTCTGTTCTATAACTTCCAAATTGTTCAACTCAACTTCACAGAACTTTCTGCACATACTGACTTTAGTGCCCCTAGTTGTACCTTTTGCTATTGACAACATTTTATATTTATATAATTATTCAGTTTTTACTGAAATATAGTTGAAAACCTCAAAAGAAGGCTTTTCTGGGCTACAACTTCAAGGCATTGGCCCCAAACAGTATGATCATTATCATTACAGGTTTTACATCTCTTACATAGTAAACCTTTTGTTGTGATATGTTATGTTTAGCTTTGTATTATATCTTCACGTGCAAAGTACTGGTACGTAAGTGTGTGAAGTCTCAAGTAATTACAGGGCTTTATAGCATATTTAGGTTCCATACCAAGACCTGTTCGCGGGGGATAATGCCATGCTTTGTGGCATCTTGTTTTCCCTCTACAACAGTACCATTTTGTGCCGGTACATATTGCATAATACCCATTCAAATTTGTAATGTATCCGTGTAGCATCTAGCATCTATTGTTCTTCAAAAAATGAGGCAATATAAACTTTTCAAGACTTGTATCAACAAAAAGGTTATGCAATTGAATACGCTTATATTGGTTACATTTGAATATGTGTAGAGTATATTTTAATGCTGTTCCAGAAAGTTGTCATTTAGCTTCATCAAATTAATTATGGTCTGAATATATACCGAAGTAGTTTATAGTTATTAGTTCAAAATTTGATTTGGAATATAGGTCCACAAGCTGAGCCACACACAGACCCACAAGCAGAGCTTGTTGTACATAGGACTGAAGGTGATATTGGTAAGTATTTAAGCTCATTCATTTGAATAACTACATCAGAGAGGTAAATGCATACCCCTAAAGCTACTTCTTTATCCCACTGCATTTTCGGAAGTTAAATTTTTGACCATTTGTTGACAATAAGTGTATTTTGTCTGAACACATTGTTTTCTTCTGCATTAAAACCTCTTCAGGTCAGATGAGTGCAAATTGTTTAGTAAAGTCCTAGCTCTGCCAATAAAAAGAATTTTGCCTGTTTTCTATTTCTACCTATCAGAAGTATTATTTTTGTTCTTTGCTCAAAATCAAAATTAAAAAATAATAGAAAAGTAATTATAAGGTTGTTTTTTTTACTTGCTCATATCGTCTGGTTTCAAAAAAAAATCCAGGTTCTCAAAGGAAATCCTCTCGAAATACCTATAAGAAGCGACGACCAGTCATCTTGAGAGATGAGGAGCAGTCTTCAGGAGATGAACATGGTATATTTTAATTTTGTTTATTAAATTTCATTAAATGTATTATGGTCGACTGAATGTACCAAAGTCTTTATTATTATTAATTTACAATTTGATTTGTGGAATCAATTTGGAAAAAAAAGCTGTATATATTTATGTTAAGAGATTAACAAACAGGTGTCACAAAGTTAACTTTGATCTAAATGTGTTTATTATATTGTAAAAGCTATTTTGATTAAATTCAAGTGTGAATGCAACTTTCATTAAATGATTTACATCATGTTTTCAAGTTCAGCCATATCTAACTGAAGTTATTAGCTCACCTGGTCTGAAGGACCAAGGTGAGTTATAGGTATACTGTGGCGTCCGTCGTCCGTCCCTGGTTCCGTCCGTGAACACTTTCTTTAGTCGACTTCTTATAAACTACTGGGTGGAATTTGATCAAATTTGACTTGAAGCATCTTTGGCAGGTTGGGATTAAAAATTGTACAAATAAAGTGGCTGACCTCCCGGGGACTGAAGGGTGGGGCCCAAAAGGGGTAATTTGGCCATATTGCCTCAAGCATCTTCTCCTCAGGAAATTACAAAAGGCTATGGATGATATTTTGCTGGAAGCATCCTCAAGAGGTGAGGATTTAAAAATGTACAAATAAAGGGGCTGACACCCCAGTAGCTTAAGGGGCAGGGCCCAAAAGGAGTAATTTGGCCATATTGCCTTGAGCATCTTCTCCTCTTTAACTACGAGAAAGCTATTGATCATATTTGGCTGCAAGCATCCTCAGAAGGTGAGGAATCAATAATATACATATGAAGGGGCTGACCTCCCCAGGGGCCTGAGGGGCGGGAACAAAGGGTTTAATTTGACATTACTGAGATGAACAAATTTTAATCTGAAACTAAGCCATGGACAGAACTTAAATTCTTATTGCTGGCATTCCTAAGAGACTGGGATTCAGAGTCATTGCTCAGTGGCAGTTCCGATCTGAGGAAAATATATTTGTTACTGAATGCATGGATTGTTTTAATATCCAGGTTAGCGATACAGGCTCTGGGCCTCTTGTATTACTAAACATGTGTCTGATGTTGGAATATGTATGTGATACATTATCAAATATTTCCAAACTTGACAATTATGATTTTCAATAACTATTTAGTTACAGTTCCACAAACAGAGCTTGTTGAACATAGGACTGAAGGTGATATTGGTAAGTATTTAAGCTCATTCATTTGAATAACTACATCAGAGAGGTAAATGCATACCCCTAAAGCTACTTCTTTATCCCATTGCCTATTCGGAAGTTAAATTTGTGACAATTTGTTGACAATAAGTATATCTTATCTGAACACATTGTTTTCTGCTGCATTAATATCTGTTGGTCAGATGAGTGCAAATTTTTTAGTGAAGTCTTGTTCTGACTCTTGTGTTGATTTTAAACCTTTGTCGATAAAAAGGATTTTGCCTGTTTCCTTTTTTTACCTATCCGAAGTAATATTTTTGTGCTTTGTTCAAAGTAATTAATTAAAAATAAAATCTCATAGAAAAAGAAATTATAATTCATCCCAAAAATTTGTGTTATTAAATCATATTGTCTGGTTTTAAAAAAAATACAGATATTCAAAGGAAATCCTCACGACATACTAGTAAGAAGCGACCAATCATCTTAAGTGACGAGGAGCAATCTTCAGAAGATGAATATGGTATGTAAGGCTTTTCTAGAATTTGTTGTGTGTATGGTGGCAAGCTGCAAAGTTTTCCAGAGACCACATTGCTCACCTAATGCAAAAAAAGGCAGTTTTAACATATTAAGGAAATAAAAGGATTATCGGGTGGTTGTTTTTATAAACCCACTGTGTGTAGGACTACTGGTGCTGATTATAGAATAGCCACAAAGATGATGTCACAAAAGACACAGATATTAAATTGTCTGTTTAATATATGTGATATCCCTTGCTGAATGTTCTTGTATATAGTAAGTATCATCAACTGTACTTCAACTTCAAATTTTATTTATTTCTCTTCACAAAATTACAGATTGTACAGAGAAAACATATTAACAACAATACAGAGACAAATTTGGTACAAATGGAGGACAAATTATGTGACCTTTTGAAATATTATTTTGATAAATTTGCATAAGTTTCTTAAAGTTTTTACATTATTTGTGTTCATTAATTCTGAAAATTTAATAACATTAGGCAAATCATAGAAATACTTATCTAAAAATTGTTTCCTTTCTATGTTTAAAAATGGACATTTTAAAACATAGTGGAATTCATCACCGATTTCAATATTGCAATAAGGAAAAATTCTGTTTTGATAATCAATATCGTTCCATCTACCACTCTCAACTATAAGTTTGTGGTTGCATGTTCTAAATTTACACAATACTCTTCATTCTTTGTCATTTAATAAAACTAAATAGTTTTCAAAATCACAGTTATTTTTGTAAATTCTATAGCAAGTAGACTTTAATGAATTATACACTTCACTGTTGAATTCTTGTAAGAACTGGTCATGCAGTATTTGTTTCACCGAAAGTTTTACCCATTTCGGGTTACCCAATCCAAAGAACTGAGAATTCCATACAAACATCAATCCACAATCATTTAAAATATCGTGAATAAATCTCAAGTAAGGAACTTTCTTGTTTTCTACAACAAAAACATGGTATAACATATTGTACATAAGGTAATTCAATTTACTGTCTTTAGATTGTAACATCTTTGACCAATAACCAATCATTCGTGATTTTACTTCTATGGAAAGGGGGCATATACCAAGACTGTATATGTAACACTTACCTGGTTTCCTTGATGTCAGCACTTTTTTCTTTTTCTTTCAGTTTTGAAAGATGATGAAAAGGACACAAGTTCTTCAGAAGAAATGTCATCAGAAGATGTTCCTGCCTCATGTAATTTTTTATATTCTCAGTACAAATGCTCTTTTACTTTTTGTCTGTAGTCTATCTTTGCTCTAATTCTTGTTTTCAAAATATCTCAGAAATTACTCAAGGGATCATTTTTTTTAAGTTTTAAAGTACTTATCCTTTGCTTTCTTTGTATTTTCATTATAAAATTGATAATT